AAGAGAAGGCTGAGAGGGGACCTTCGAAATGCCTCTAAATATCTGCAGAGTGGGGGTCAGGAGGACGGGGCCAGACGCTTTCCAGGGGTGCCCAGCGACAGGACAAGGGGCAACAGGCACAAACTGAAGCCTGGGAAGTTCCAGCTGAACCCGAGGAAGAACTTCTTCCCTCTGAGGGTGACGGAGCCCTGGCCCAGGCTGCCCAGAGGGGCTGTGGAGTCTCCTTCTCTGGAGATATTCCAGCCCTGCCTGGACACGGTGTTGTGCCCCTTGCTCTGGGTGACCCTGCTTGGGCAGGGGGTTGGGCTGGGTGACCCACAGAGGTCCCTTCCAACCCCGACCATTCTGTGACTCTGTGATTCTGTGGAGGTGTTTCAGGAGGTGTTTCTCTTCCTCCTTGCCCTTAAGCAGGAATCTTGCTGTGGAGCTGGGCCATTGCGTGTGTGCCTCACACTGGGCTGCTCTAGGAATATTAGTAAATCCATGTGGTTCATTATTATGAATCATTTTCATCGGCAGTATGATGTTAATACCAGTAATTAGTAGTAAGAAAATCAGCCTGGAATGGCTTTGTCGAGGGCACACTGTGCTTCTGACAGATACTTTGGTTCTGATACCCCAATCTTCTAAAGGGAAGTTTATCAGTAAATACATTACCCATATTATTGATCTGGTCTGCAGAGTTCCCTCTTCAGCTGTTTTAAGTTTCCCAGAGACCTTGGATTCAGCCACTACTTCATATTCTGGGAAGAATTTCCCTGTTCCACATCATGTGCTGCGATTCTCTGGAGGTGAAAACCAAAGCAGCTTTCGGAATACCTGAGTGTAATGTTTGATTTGTTTCACCTGAGGTTACACCGGTGTCAAACATAAGATTGTCTCTCAGTGTTGAGACTGAGGAGTTTGTCTTGAGGAAGCTTCGTAGCAGTGAGTGTGGATTCTGGGCTCGTTTTGAGGCTTCCAATAAAACACTGCTAGTGGTGTAACGGTGTAAAATTAATTCGGTAGTCAGGCGGCCGAAGAGCTTGATCCTGCATATTGTCACGTAGTCAATGAAGTCTCTGTGCGTGGATGAATACTACCAGTGGTAGAAACAGTGCAAAGCTAAGCACTTCTGGATGTGATTGTAGAGGCTGATAAAATGCAGGAGAGAGAAGGAAACCGAGATATCTTTAAATGAAAACCATAATGGAAATGCTGAGCTCTTTGTAACGCCTAGAGTTTTGCATAGAGAGAGGGAAGGGGTGGGGGGAGGAAATACAAGCTGTCTGAAATCTTTTACGCCTATGTATAAATTTGGGGACTTGGGATCATAAGACCAGATTCTTCACTTTATGTTTGTCTGGAGATACGTCTGAATCTCGGGGTTGTGGAGGGAGGAGTTGGATGCTGTTTCGCACTCTTTTTTCCTATATTTGGGTTGAATTTGGAAGAACAAGGACTCCAGACCTGGTTCAGAATCCCCTGAAAATGTCAGACTCCCACAGATTCGAATGTGCTTTGGTCCAGGCAAACCCAGTTGCGACTTCCCCCTTAGATTTTAAGCTCGCTTGTGATATTAATACTGAAAGAATGCACTGCAGTATTTGTTGGCTTCAGTTGGAATTCAAAGCACTGGCTTTAACCTGCAATATGTTGAATGTTTTGGAGCTGCTGGCGTGAGACATCATCTCTTTTCTCTGTCACGTTGCCATCCATGAGATCACCAGAGACGCTCGGAGCTGGCGAGCGCACAGCGTGAAGCAGATGCCTGCTGAGAACCTGCCTCTGGGAGGGCTTTCACATCTGGAGTTAGCCCTCGTCTTGATCTCTTTGTGCCCTGCTCTGTCAAACTTTCATCCAATTCACAAAGCCTGCCAAGAAAGTTGTGAGCTGAGGCAGGCGTATGCCTGTCTTTTGTATGTTGTGGCTTTTTTACATTACTTTTGTAATTAGGAGATGGGGCGCCTAGTGTTGTCCCAAAACCTGGGGTTCGTTTACGCGGTGTGCAATGCGCCAATACACACACAGAGCAGAGGTATTTTATTGCGTATTTGCGCAGGTATGGGTGTCTGTCCCAAGACAGCACCCCTCATTCACAAATCTACAGTCATTTATACACTTAACATTACCATATTCATCTTCCTAATGCATATGCATCATTAGTCTATTTAATAATTGGTTAAAACCTTCTCGCCCAGTATGTAAATCGGTAGGCGTGCTCAGTTTCTTCATCTTTCGGGTCTGGGGTGTAGTTGTGGTTGGTGGCTTGTGGGTCAGTGGTCGCGATCGACCCTTGCTGGAATTACCTTTTCCCTACTCTCCTCCGCTTATTGGCAATCTCAGCAGCTTTTCGTAGCTCGGTAGCTATTCTGGCAATTCATCACTGTCTGGTTCTACTTTGGACAAGCACATCTTGCTCATGAAACAATAACACATTGTTCAAGATCCTGTTTCTTAGTTCTTCTAAACTTAGTATAGTTAATTTTAAACTTACAAAATTACAAAACTTTTAACTATAGTGAGGGTAGGGCTTTACAAAAATACCTGTTGCAGCAATAGCCTGGTTAGTTTCAATTATTATTTCGCATTTTGATTCCCCTTTTGAATCCTTAGTATACTAGCATGATACCTGCACTGGCCTTTAGCCATAAAGGAATAAAGATGGAAGCAAACAAATCTTAGAGCAAAAAGGACTTGCATTTTAGTCCAGTCAGGAATATCAGTGACTGGGGTCTCTGGATCTGTTTTAAACAGTAGCAAGTATAAACTGGGTGGAAATTACCGCATTTATAGTGTGTATAGAGACATATATATTGCAGACACTCAGATTCTTGGATTCCTAATCTAAACTTGTAACAGTCCCAGAAATGTCACCTGTGCAAATAGCTGTGTAGCATATATGAATTGCTTTTTTACTGGAGTTGGATAGAAAGAGTCCGTTGACTCTCAGGAATCCATTTACCACAGTGTGACAGCCACAGATATAGATTATTTTAGATGCTTTTAAAGAAGAAAAAAGGAAGATTTTCCAGTTAGCTCGTAGATGTCAGGGTCACGATCCTATTCATGATTTTTAAAAAAGTAAGAAAGTGTTTTGCTGATAAAAGTGTGATATTTCATTGCCTTTTTTAATTGCCCATAGTTTAAAAGCTACAGCAGTAGTTTATATCTTATTTTTCCCTTCATTTCTTTCTATTTACTTGGATTTATAGCTTCAGTTGTCAAAGTTCTGGTCTGGTGAGAACTGAATTTCACGTGTGTATTTCACATTTGCGAATAAAACAACTGAATTCCTTACTTGTATACTCACTTCTTCACCAGCTTGGCTTTTCACATTTTTTTTTAAACTTTGCTAACAGCAGGCAAGATGTAGTGTTTCTCCTTCCTAGTTAAGGTTTTGTGAATTTAAAACAAAAGCCTATGTGATATTTTTAATTTAATATTTGAGGCTTAGTAGCTTTTTAATATTTAAATATAATTTAAAACAGGTTTTTGATGAATGTGTGTAAGTATTCTCCTTGGGAGTTGTTAATCTAGACGGTTGCAGTCCCGTGTTAACATATTGTGAGCAGAGGTAGAAAATGAAATGATTAATCTACCTTCTTTCCACTTCGTAGAATGAAGTACGGAAAGCCAGCATAAGGTATAAATGACTTAGAAAATGACTGAGTCTGTTTTTAGTGCGGTGCATGGCCAACCAATTGATATTTTTCATCTTAATTGACCAAAACTTGAATTCAAAAGTTAAAGTTTGACCACCTGAGCGTTGCTGTGCTGCCAGATGCCCAGACTTCGTAGATGCAAAAGCTTGTATTCGAGGTGCAAAATCTCCTATTCTTGCAGTCCCTGAAGGACCATCAACTGGCCACGCTCTATTCAGACATTTACGTTTCTAATCCCACATTTTAAAGCTGGCGTTTTTATTCACTTCTCTTCTTATTCAAAGCTTCAGCTGCTCCTGTGCCTTGTTAAACGTTTGCCGATCTCTGTACAAGAGGTGACTGCATCTCAATGATGCTGAAGTGCCCCTGTACATAACCCCCTTACTGGCTCATTAAGCTTGCAAAGCATTTGGGATTTCTCAGTACACAAACCCTGCCATTCAGGTATGGTTCTCCTGTCCCCTCGTGTTTCCTGTTTGCCTTTAGCAAGACAAAAAGCAGGTGAGAGCGTGCCCCAGAGCAGCTGGGGTGCACAGGTACACCTTCCGCTGACCTGCGCCAAGCGGCCACGGAAGGTGGGGGCTGCACCTCCTTTGGTGGCTTAGGCTGGTTGCTTACGGAAATAAAACTTGTGTTCCCACAGGGATTCTCTCCGTCCCTTTCCACCCCAAGTAATTTTCAGATTTGCTGGCCAATTGCCACCGAGTTTTGCCAGGAGGACTGAGTTTTGAAGAAATTGATTTTCTGGGTTTTTTGTGAAAATAGGTGGTGGTTAGAACAAAAAAGATTCTATGTGTGTCCTAAATTGAGAGAGGAGCTATGCCGTGCTCTCAGCCCTTACGATCAGAAAAACTTGTCTGAAGAAATTCAGCACCCTAATACCCTGGCATGGGGAAATCTCAGTGAACACACACAGCTGTGAGACACAGATTCAGAGGAAATCAGATTTTCTTCTGGTGTGAATGAACTACGTGTTTAAAAGCAAGGGAAAAAAGGCAATTTTCAGGGGGGTTCAGTCTGTTGGTAAAGGTCATGAGTAACTCACCCTCATATTCTTCTTTCAGTACTGCCTGTCAGGACATCCAACCTTACCATGCAATGTACTCAAGTTCAAATCCACCACCATCATGTTGGACTGCGGGCTGGATATGACGTCCACCCTCAATTTCCTCCCATTGCCACTGGTTCAGAGGTATGTTCTGCGGCCTGTAAGCACTTAGGCTGTGTCTTCTTGGGTTGGAGTTGGAGTGCTCTGCGTGAAATGGTGTATTGGAAGGAGGGAGGGGGTGAGTACAAACGGACAGCATCATCTGATGTCATAAATAGACTTTGTTCACTTAAAAATTCTCTTTATCAAAATAACGTCCTTTGGCTCAGTAGACGGAAGACATTTTATGGATTTATTGATTGGTTTTTCGGGATAATTTATTCTAAGCTTCAGTAAAGTATTGCTGCAACTGCTCAGCACAAGTGAGGTCACATATCTGTCATCTTTCTGGCTTCTTCACGCAAGATGAGATAAATGGGTAACTGAGATGGAGTGCATGGAGCCCTGCAACTACTGTTTAACCACCATCTTCTCAGGCTTTTCTTCAGGGCACCGACTAATGCAAAGAAAAAGAGCACTTAACAGTCCTTGTTAGTTGACTTGATGGCATAATTGTTCCCTTTTAAAAATGAAATAAATAAAAGGGCAATGCAGCTGGGCGCAGGAATGGAGCGGCCGTGAAACAAGAATAGAGTCCAGAAGAGAATCCTGAGATCAAGACTCCCCCTTCTATGCCCTAACAACAAGGTCGTGCTTTCCCAGGTTTTTAGCTGCATTTGGATATTCAGTTAGGGTGACTTATGTCTTGCATAAATAGAGCAAATAACGAAAATGAGGGGTTGGAAAGGTGGGAATGAGTAACTCTTGGTGATGGGAAGCAGTAGGATTTTCCACAAAAACCATTTAGTAACTTTGATCTGCGAGGAAACAAGTGAGGAGCATTGTGGGTTCAGGGGAGGCTTGACTGAGAGGGGGAGAATATGATTGGGAAAGGGAGTTTTCTAAGTGACTTAATGAGGTTAAAGCAGTTTGTCCAGCACTTCCTATGATTAGTTAGTTTTTGGAGGGGGAAAGAATAGGCAGTGTATGCAATGTTCTGCAAGAACGTGGAGTTCAAGATCTGCTGTAGAGTAGGCAACAGATGCCTGAAGACGGATCAGTGTGATTGATAGTCAGTTTTTGTCCCATTCCGTAATGTAATTGCCGACTACAACGTTTAGGGGCAGTAGTAGATTTTGAAGGGATCCAGAAAATTTTGGAAATCCGCATACAGACAGAATTGCCTTGCATTCGCTTCCTCCCACCCCCCAAAGAAAAAAGAAATTGAGAGAGGAACAAGTAGCAAATTAGGTGACTGAACAAAGGCTTAAGAGGTTCTTTAGAACTGCAGGCATCAGCGCTCCCTGGGGATATGGCAGCTTTGTCTGCTGATAGCAGACCCTGGGAATGAACAGCCAAATTGCAGGTCACAACCTGGAATTCCCCACCTAACTCCAGAATGTCTGCACTAAAATGACTCAAACTCAATAAGAAAGGATGTCAGATTTGACCCCTGATGGCCCAGTGGAATCGGAGCAAACAGTTGGATTTAAATCAAATCAATCTTGTCGGTAAGGTGATTGAACACCCCTTACAGCAAGGATTGTCCTAAGCACATGGACTTGGGCAAGTAATTGATCTCTACAAAACAGATGTCCTGCGGGGAGTTGTGGAAACGAGTTAGAAACTTGAGAAGGAGTGTGGCTGCCACTAAAAAGTCCTTGTCTCTCTATAGTACGCATAGCTGTACGATTATGTATCAGGTCCCCACTACCACAGTGTCTAAATACCTCTGAAACTCAGTTGTGTATTGTCAACATAACGTGGCCAGGTGATAGAGAGCTGGCGTTATCATCAGTTTCCAGGTGGGAGACTACAAGAAGGACTGACTGCCTTAGGTCTGGCGTGAAGCGTGTAGCAGAGCAAGAATCTGAACATAGGTCTGTCAGATCTTAGGTTACTACCAGCTGTATGTCCTCTCAGAACCAGAAGTGTGGCTTCTTACAGCTAGGCTGAGAAGGACCCATGTGAAATCTTAACCAGAGAGGAGCTTCCCTCTGCTGTCTTTAAATCAGAGGTCCCCAAAGTGTGATCCATGAATCACTTGGGTTCTGCAAGTCTCTGTATGTGTCTGCAAAGGTGCCCTAAATTTTACCTCTGTGGAGCATAAAGGTATGACATTACTGAGGATCTTTGCTATGCAGCTAAATCCTGTGTCGTACCTGGCATGGGACTCTCCTTGAGCAAACATTTTGAGAGCCTGTGCTTTAATCTATAAGAGAGGGAAGTGCTGTAGTGTTTGTGTCATTAAAGGGACTGGACATTTTTTAGAGGTCTTTGCTCTTCAAAAAAAAGCCCGTCAAAAAGTATTTAGATTCCACCTTGGCCTGGAAATGGCAGTCCTTGTTCTCACCAGCCCACGGAGCATGTGCAAAATACCTGCAGTTGCCAAACGCTTTGTGCCACTTCGTGTACTTTAAAGGGGGTTTGTCAACTGGAATTTTCTCCCCTGTGCCAAAGTCAAATGCAAAACGGTAAAATGAACATGTGGGAAGCTCTTAACCTTTCCTGTCTAGCCATGACACACTTGCTCACATTATTTATGGGACAGTTCTAGCTATTTTGGATTAATCAATCACTCTATTACAATGTCAAAACTATGTCGACAGGAACTGTGCTACTTCTTGGCTTCAAGGTAGAGTCCTTTCTGTTCTGTGTTGCTTATTCCACTTTCACCCACACACAAGACCTGTCTGCTAATTTTGCCTCTCCTGACAAGACTGTATACTCCTCAGTGGATGCCAGGTTTAGTAGAAGTCAATAGTGCTCTTTCATCATGAATAAGGCAAAGAGCATACTAGGGTAAATTAGGAGGAGTAGGGCCAGCAAATCAAGGAAAGTGTATTCCTTTCTGTCTCATGTTGATGAAACCGTAACTGGATCCAGGTTTGGATTCCCAAATGGAGAGAGATGCTGAGAAACTGGAGAGGGGGTTCAGGGATTTCCAAGATGCTCAGGATCTGCAGCCCAGGACTACGTGGAGAGGTTGAGGGAGCTGGGCTTGTTCCATCTGGCAGAGAGGAGGCTAAACAGCCACCTGCGTCTGCTTGAAAGGAAGTTACGAAGGCGGCAGAGCCAAACTTCTCCACAGTGGCAGGCCGTGTAAGGGGTGAGTGGATGCAGACTGTGTCTTGAGAGGCTCAGGTTGGACACTAGCCTCCCAGTGCTGAAGTTTTTCTTAGCACTTTCGCTCATCCCCTAGAATGTTGTGCTCCGGGGATCTGCAAGACACAGCTGGACAAAGCCGTGGCTGACCTGATCTCCTGCTGGCTTTGAGACATTGGGCTGCAGCCCTCCAGATGTCGCTTCTAATGAAGGTTTCTGTCCTCTCCTCCCTTGTATGTCGAAGTTGTTGCGTATCGGAGTGGTGTGTTCTTGCTTCTTCCCTGCTTTTGCCGTAGCTCTTTTAGTCTCTGCGTCAGTTCTCAGCCCCCTCAGTCTCCAAAATACTGCTTTTAAATTGGGCTTTTGAGTGTGTCAGTGGGGTTTACATTTACCCACCTCATCTTTTTGATCATTAGATTTCTTCAGACTTACTCTTTATCCTCGAAAGGGGTTTGTGCTTCTCTGGCATAGCTTCTCAATAACATGTCCTTCTGCTCTGTTACCTTCTGTCTTCGCTCCTTGAGTCTTAGATTTCCACTTTTTTCTTCCTTGTGGCTTTCTGGAGTGCCAGTTAGGATTTGTTCTTTTATATGGATGTTAGTCTGCACACAGCATTCCTCTAAGCCATTGAATCACTTGCTGTTCTCAAGATCTTAAGTTTGAAAGCCCTTACAGCTTAGAAGCATCCCTGTCTATAGTGCTTAGTGCACAGCACTTGCGGATTTCATTGCAACAGGGTTCTCAAGTTCTGTCTCCAAATCTGAGGTTGTTGCAGGGCTTGGTTCCAGGCAGGTTCAGTTCCATTGTTTCTTCAACTTTTTCTCTTTTGGATTTCTGTAGGTATGCCCAAATCTGGGCTGACAGTGGTTTTAGTGCCAAGTTGGCACTCACAAAAATCAAATGTCATTATGAAGTATGTCAGTTATGACAGCAAGAAGTGCTGCAGCAATTACTACTGTAAACTCAGGATTACAATGTCCACCTTGAAGTTTCTTTATTAGCATTTGAAACAGTTTAAAAAAGGAGCCTTGCCATTGCTGACTGGTACCAGACCTGCCAGCTGAACATAAGCTGTTGGAGCAAACCTCCTTGCCCCTTTGTCCTTCCAACACGGGTAAATACATTGTGCAGCTCTTGGTGTGGGTTTTCGGGATGAGACCGAAGTGTGAAACCATGATTTATGTGGACATAAAATCGCAACCTCTGTGTGCATAAATGACTTAGTCCAGAGCACCCGTCTTTCCCTGCCGTTGCTAATGGGAATATTTGTCGGCTTCTGTCCCAGAGCAGTTTTACGGTGCTTTGGTATTGTTGCAGGCATAGAGATTGTTGCTGCCCTAAACCTGCTTCTGTTTATACAGCCAGTTTCACCACAGGGCAATGTAAGCAGCGCTAAGCCTTTTTGAAATTCTCACCATAAATGACTAAAATCAAGCTCCCTGTGTGCGTTGTCCTCTTACTCTCTTTACTTATAAGTGTCATAATCATGATTTGTAAAAGTCATTTCAGCGAACGCTTAAACACAGTGAAACTGTCTGTCTGTTTTATTGAGATTGTTAGTTCCCTGAGACAGAAATGGTGTTCTCTTCGTGTATGACACCAAATAGGTCTATGCTTAGCAACTGATAATGATATCATTAATATTGCAATATTTTTTTTCTCTCTTTCTGCAGCCCCAGGCTGTCCAAACTTCCTGGTTGGGTTTTGAAAGATGGAAGCACATTTCTGGACAAGGTACTTTACTGATGGTTACAGTTTTCTTGCCATGCAAAAAGCTACCTGACAGGTTAGGAGCTTGCACTGCAGGAGCGATGCTTCCATGCTGACTCATCGCAAAGCTTGCTGTGTGTACCCTTACTAGCCATGATGTCCTTGTAGAGCAGAACATTTTGAAACAAAATGCTAAAAGCAACTCTGAGGCTTTCAGTCTTCAGAGGTAGCCTAGTTTTTTAAAAAATCCTCTTAAAATACAGAAATCATCAGTATGAATATTTTCTTATTTCATGGAGCTCCATAAATAATAGTGCTTTGCCTTCTTAGAGTGCCTTTTATTCAACAGCCTCACTTTTCTGACACTAAAGCTTCATAGCATGCTTATAAATGAGGTTGGCATCATACCCTTTTTTAGGCAGGAGAACTGAGAGAAACTGGATTGTTTGCCCATGGGAGGTCTCTTACAGACGAAAAGCACGTCTTTGGCCTCTGAAATCAACATGTGTTCTGCTGCTGGACATAGCAGGGAGGATATTATCTCCAGCCTCCTAATTCTAAGACACAGGACCTGCTCAGCTACATGAGACACATGGAATTTTTCTTTTTTTCCCCCTCTTTTCATTACATTAGTTTTGTAGGCAGAATTTATCCGGGACTTCAACCAAAACTAGGCACTGCAGCATCCAGCTTGATCTGCCATAGGGGAACAAAGAACACAAAAATATGTCAGAAGTTAGTAAAATAGGCAGATACATTTCAAATGTGTGCGGCGATAGGTATCAGTAGAGAAAATACTGTTTTAATAGACTGTTCTCTGACTATGTGAACTTTAAAGGAAAACGGTAATAATAGTTGCTTTTGTAGAGGACTTTGAGGTGGACAAAATGGATTGATGTGATTTTTACACGCAAGGGAGCTAAAGATCATAGATTAAAGATCTGATTTTAGTTCTCGTTGGAGACAAAAGAAACTGTATAGGCAGCATTTCTGTTAGTAAAATAGTAACAGCTCTATTCAGAGCTCAGGCTAACTGGCAATCGCAGAGCTACAGAGGCTCAGTGACAGGAATGGAGCTGCCCAGTTTGAACTGGCTACAATTTGTTTCTCCTGAACCCCAGCCTTGGTCTCAGAGGTTTGGGCTCCATTCTGTCCAAAGAATGGGTAGGCTGTCAGTATATTTTTATAGGTGATGTATTTACATTTCTGCAGTACTGCAGCTGCAGTATGTGCTCAGGAGAAATCTTCAAACTCGCACAGCGTGAATGGAAGTCAAGTGTTAAAAATTCAAAGGCAGCATCTCTTACCTTCACCTTGACCATTGTAACTGCTTGGAATGGTAAATTCTTTGACCCGTGCTGGAAAAAGGCAAGGGAAGGAGTCAAAGGGGGCTGTTTTATCATGTCGGGCGGACATTCCTGTTATAGCACTCTCTGGATGACAGTTATAAAACTGAAGTCCTGGAGAGGCATTGAAATTTGCTGCGATCTAGTTTTAATCATTTTGAACTCCCTTGAGATGAGGTTAGGAGACTTCTGCCACTAGATGTAATTGCTCATTCGTTATTAGTTGGCAGGTGCACTGTAATTATTAAGAACTGGATTCAATCTTTAATTCTGTCAGTCTGAAACTGGCCGAGACCACTCGCTTTGGGACAAGCAAGAGGATCATCCACAAGAGAAGGCAGAGTGGGTGATAGGTAACCTGTGAGGTGTGTTAGGACTAGAGTTGGGAATATTTTTGTTCCATACAAAATCCTGAAGAATGTGACTTTTTATGTGACAAAGATTTCTGATGTCAGCATTGAAAGAGGAGGAAGAAAACAGGGACTGGAGATCCAATAGAGATAAGTCTAACAAAAAGTGCAACGTGGCGCTTAGATCCCCCAAAGATGTTTCATCAGATGCTCTGAGACAGGGGCTAAAAATTCAATTCTGCTCCTTATAAGACAGAAAAGGTTTGATGTTATTTGGAACTAAAACTAAATTCCAAACTTGTAAGATAGCCAGGACACTATAAAGGTGCAGTGCACACCTTCCAGGTCAGGAGAGCAGCAGTTCAAAGAAGAGTGGTCTTCATGACCCACTTTTCAGTTCATACTTCACTTTTGATTCTAATACACAAAGTCAGCTTGCATTGTTACAGGTTTCCCAGCCAACGGATCTGCAGTTGGAGGAGCAGAGAAAATGCAGCTTCATAGGACAGCATGGCCCCAGCTAAGCCAGCCAGGGTCTCTCTTCTTACCTGCCAGAGCACTGTCTCTGTTCCTCCAAACGAGGATCTGATCCCTTGAAGTGCCAAGCAGCCTCAACTCGCATAAAAACAACTTCAGCAAGTCTGCTTACAGCAAGTGGTATCTGGAACGGGGATAAACATAATGTAGTAACGGGCTGGATATTACCTGTGATAAAGAAAAGGTTTTGAAAGTGCAAAATCTGCTGCGTCAGAGTAACATTGCATTGTATTTTTGTGTCTTCTCTGATGTGCTTTTCTCACAGGAACTAAAGGAGTGCTCTGGCCATGTGTTTGTAGACTCTGTCCCTGAGTTCTGTTTACCAGAGGTGAGTTTGTTCAAAGCCTTACTGAAAAATCTGACTCCATTCAGTCATGTGGGAGAAACTTGCTAAATAATTCTTAAAGGTTTCATGCTAATTTATTAGTACTCAGTAAATAATGCTACTAAAACCTCTTCGTTGTTAAAGTGCCTCTCGTATCTATGACACTGGAAAAAGGATGGAAACAGCCCTTTTCAACAATGGTTTTGGGAGGTCTGGAAGGTCTGCCTGAGCGGATCAATATCTCACAGAAGAATAAGACTTAACTGTCCCTTTCTGTGGGCCTTCCAAAGACAATATGACTGAGCTGGACTCGATTATGACAGGATACATGTGCTGATCTAGATAAGGGCAGTGAATGAAGACGAGGAAAGCTGCTTGTCTCTAACCACAGATGCGTGACCTGCCTAGCGGAGCTCCCCTGGGGAGCCGACCGTGTGGTTAAGCCCCTGTTAGATTCTGCTGGGCGGCAGTCGGACGTGCTGTTCTGCCGGCAGCAAATTTAGGTTAAAAAGTTTTGCTGCCGCCTTAGCTGTTCGTCACTGCCTCTTTGAGGGAAGAACTGTACCTTCGTAACCACTGACGTAACTGCAAGCAGCTGCTTCTCAAGCTGTTTTTTCCAAGGATATCTGGGTTTAAACAAAAAGAAAGCAAGACTACTGAAAATGTTTGAATTACCTGGGCTTACCTGACTGATCAGGTTAATGGTGTGTGTAGGAGAGCTGAAGAAGTAAAAGCTGAGCACAGAGTGGTGGGGGTGAATGGTGGGGGAATAGTCTGGGAATAGTATCCTCTTTCCTCAGCTGTGTTCAGCCTGTGATAACATCAGTTCTTTGATTTCATGTTGGGGCTGTTTGCTCTGTCTTTCAATGCTTTTTCAATGCTTTTGGGCAGGGATTTTTTTTTTTTTTCCTTTCTGCCTGACCTTGTTGACAGGAAGTACAAAGCGCTTCTGGAAGGCTGTTGTCACATTGCTGGGGCTCTGGCAATAGAGTTTATGTCTGTTGATTCCATGAAACTCACCTCTTTCAGCTTCTGACTCCTGTCACCTTGGTTCTTCTACCCCATGTGACAGGTCTGGTGCTAGTTTTGGCAAGTGATATCAACAGCTCTGTGTACGATTGCTTGTTTTCCCCAACAAGAATGGATATAATCCAGTCACAAAAAAACCCTCTTATAATTCTGTGTTCTTGTGTGCTTTCTGGTGACTGTCCTGTGGAAATGTTGTCTCAAAAATCAGGGTTCTGGGGATGAGGGAGGTGGGAAGCATCTGTATGCCTACGAAGTGCCGTTATGTCCCAGATCATGGGAAGGATGGAGTTTAGTTTATGGGTTCCCTTTGGAATCAAGGCCATGCACAGGAATGATCTGCTGGGGTTTAGGATGCTTCAGCTAGGCTGTCTGGTTACTTTGTCGGGCTGGAAAATACCCAGATCTGTAGCTCTACATAGAACTGATGTTGTGTTGCTGCTTCATTACACCACTGTCGTCACTGAATGTGACTCAGTTTCCCAGCAGTCCATGTTGCAACTAGAAGACAGCAACGAGGTACACATGTCACCATTGTAGGGACTTCACAAATGGCTTCTCAAAGGCTTCAGTTCCCAAAGTTCCCAACAGGTGCCAAGTCTTCTCCGCAAGCGCTAGGAATAGATCTGCGAGTGATACCCAGCTTGCATCTCTAGCTTCACAGGCTTCGCTGTCTGGAGGAGGGTTCAGATGTCACGACCAGCTGAGTGCTTCAGCAGAGTAGAAGTGTCGCTGGTGTTTGGCAGCACAGTATGAGAAGGAGCTTGTGTGAAAGAGGCTTTGTCTTTTTCTTTGTCTCCTTCCATGCCACTTCTTTTGAAGAAACTTGTCTGCAAAAACAGTTAGTTTGAGAATCACAGCATCACTTCCAGGAACACCATTGCCAAAGAAAGCGAAGTTTTGAATGTGATCCAGAAGCCACAAGGTGATAAGAGGCTGTCTCAGCAGCAGAGTACGCTTCCACATGTCGGAGTGCAGGGTGCAGCCCTCTCTTTGCTTGGCAACCTTCTGGTCTCTCTCACTTTACATTCAGGAAACATTTTTAAACCTCTTCAGTTCATAGGCACTTTTAGTGAGATTGCCGCAAGTCCCAGGGAAGATTTTACTTTGTTTCAGTTTTGACACCTTTTTCATCCTATTAGTAAATGCTTCTGGGATGCTGGGACGTGGGATGCTTAAGCTTGGAAAGTGGTAGCCTGTATCCTGACAGCTCACTGGGCTGGGATTCAGCTCAGGGCTGGGTGACTCCCCGTTTGATTCTCTATGCTCTGGACACAGCAGAAAACCGAGCCGTGAAGGGCCAGCTTGGTAGGAGCAGGCGTCAGCAGGCTTTCTGATACCGTGTGGCGAGTGTGGTTCTGCCTGGCAAGCTTGGTGAGATAAAAGAGTGCCCTGTCATGAGTCTGAGGATGGTGTTTCACCTGCTGTACTCAGCTTGGAGATCGTGCCTCCAGCATCAGCTGTGATCGTGGATCGAAACCATGAACGCCTGGCTAGGAGTTAAGCAGCTTGTCACCAGAGCACTGTGTCAGCCCTCTGAAAAGCCGAGTGACCTACTTTCTTGCCTTTTTTATTCAAATTGCTGGACCAAGCCTTGTAATCAGATAATACGTGTTTGATGAGTGTTGAATTCCATTAGCTGCTCTGTAATAACTGAGTTAGAGGTCATATATCTTGTAAATTTCTGACTTGACACCATTTGTGTTATAGCATTACCAGTAAATATTTCTAATTAAAATTCCTTTAACAATGTGTGAAATCTTCTTTCACTCTCTGAACTGCTGCGTTAACTGTCACATCAAAACAAATTGGACCCACCCGTCTGTTTTGTTGTATGCTATGAATGAGCTTCATCTGCGGCTGTAGAAAATGGGAATGATAAAGATGCCAAGCATTTAGTTTGGGAAAATATGAGAATTATGTTAAGCATGTGAAGAAATACGATCTGCGTCCATCTCTCTCACTCCCCTGGGGTACGGTGCCACATGCCCCATAAAAAGTAGGAGACACCCTGCTAAATCGCTGCTGCAGAAGTTTCGGTGTCTGCGCAGTGTTCCTGCCTGAGGAAGCGCACGCAGCAGTTCTGTGATAAAAGTCTAGTCCTCAGGCCTCTCTTAACGGCAGCCATTTCATTACATGAAAGGCAAACCCAGGACATGGTTTCCTTTTCAGGTTTGAGAAGGACATAATTTTAGGGGGCTTTTTAAATAGTTCTCGTTAGTTTAAAGGAAAGGTTAATCTTTGCCACAGCTGAGACATCCCCCCTTCCCATTTTTTGATAAACCAATTACATTCTTGCAACATAAAGTTTAAAAAAAAAAGAACAAAAAGCTTTTCTGCCATTGCTTAAACTGCGTGAAAGGGTTACATGTTGCTTATCTCTTTCCTCTGTTTTCAGACTGAGCTGCTTGACCTCTCCACGGTGGATGTAATCTTGATCTCAAACTATCACTGCATGATGGCATTGCCCTATATCACAGAGTGCACGGGATTCACTGGAACAGTGTATGCCACTGAGCCCACTGTTCAAATTGGCAGGTAAAAAGCCCCTTAATATTCTCTGCTCCTTTTCCATCACTGCTAAGGAAAAGGTGTAAAGGACAATATGGGTAAAGGAGTAGTGTCTAATGTTCTGAAGAGGCTCTTAGGCAGTAGCTGAATGCCAGCCAAGTCCTTAGTGCTGCAAATGTGTTAACTCAATGTTTCCCAACCTCTGGAACCAGCTGTCTTCAGCATGTACAGTGGGTGCTTTGTGTTGAGTCTAGGCAGAAGATGTGGGACAGTAGATCTTGAGTGCACTGAGACACCTTGATCAGCAATTACCAAATAGCCAACTTCAAACCTTCAAAAACCATGAATTGAAGATCTCTCCTCCTCCACTCTGCTCCCCTTAAACAAAAGAGGAATCCCCAATCTTTTCACCAATAAATGACTTTAAGATTATTGCCTCGTAGTTCTGCAGCATTTGAAATGCATGTAATCACACTTTCCTCCACACAATAGAAGGGAATTTAAGCTGACTTAGTCCGAAATAGCACTTGAGATACGTAAGCTCTGAGCTCCAAAGAGAAACGCTAAGAAAAACAGCAGAAATATGAGACTAGAAAATGTAAGACCTGACAATGTGGTCGAAAACTTAACATTTGATCATCAAATTTGGCAGTCTTTTCTTACAAAGTTGTCTGTTGATGGGAGAAGGCAATACCAAAGGCTGCAGGTTTGGCCCTCCGTGAAGTCTGACTGGACTTGTGCTGTGTGCACCTCTCATGCAGAACAGCTGCCGTGTTCTGTAATGAGAAACCAGATTAAGCCATGGTATCTGAACTACTCTGTAAGCACTTTAGGGCAGGAATCTTTGTCTATTAAAGGTCCTATGCAAACTTTCCACGCCAGAGTAATTCTCTCTTTGTGTAAAAACAAACAGAAACTGAAGTCCTTGTAAGAGAAAGGAATTGTACAAATATGAGCTAGAAGCCGACCTCTGGGGTATTGCTGGCCCATAGTTGGAGATAACAAGCGTAGTCTTGTTGGAGAATATACTGGTGTGGTTCTCCCCATCACAAGCAATTCCAGATGCCATTCCTCTGCAGTTAAATCTGTCCCTTCCTACCTTCAAGGGGAAGCGTGCGTGCAATTACAAATGCTGCTTAATTTTGGGCAGTGAAATCTGCAGTGCCAATTTTTAATGCCTGATACCTTTTGCTGTCTCAAATGCTGTATTGTGCGTTTGTGGATGAGGAGAGTGCACTCTGACAAGGTGCTTGGCCTCTCTTAAGTGATAAACAGGCATCAGCTAACAAGAGTTACTCATATATTTTGTCTGATTCTGTATGACAAGTAATGAGGAAATCATCTTGCGCAGGAGAGAAATTTGGGAGTTGCTCTTTTGCTGCCACTTTCCAAATAACCCGTAGCCCAGTGGGCCAGATCCTCTGCTGTCGCAACCAGGCAGACAGAGTTGGACTAGCTTGAGCTTGAAACACTCACTGGGGAAACAGGGGTAGTACTGGTGAGCGGTAATTGCTGCAATGCCTCTGTGGGAAGAATCTCTCTTTAAAACTGCCTAATGATGTTACAATTTGTGTGGTAATTTGGAAACATTTGCGACAAAGTTCTCTCCTGGGTGAAAGGCTGCAATCCGAGTTTACTGATGGTGTCTTTTCAGACTTCTGATGGAAGAACTGGTGAATTCCATTGAACGTGTGCCAAAGGCTCAGTCTGCCTCCATGTGGAAGAACAAGGAGGTACAGAGGTAAGGAACAAGCCACCGGGAAAGGGTGACTGTCCTGAAACGCGAATCAAAGTTCAGAATTCACTGTAATGGTGGGTCAGCTGCCACCATTCCAGATTTGGTTTGCTACTACCATTAAACAGAAAAAAAAAAAAGCCTCAGAGGTTTACAGCTATGACTCCTTGCCTTGGTTCTTTCTTTAATGTTTTGCACATCGTTGGTCTTCCGAGCAATCACAGAAGTTTGATTCTTGGAGGGCGACTTGGTAACAACACATAAATCTCCCCTGATCTCCCCTCACATAATTAAGCTCCTTGATGGTGGATAAACCAGCAGATTTTTGTATTAACATCATAAAAAGTTGTTGAAATTAGCAAGCTATTTAAACTTAATTATATATTGTCTTGGAATAGTTTTAATTTAAAATTATATTTACATTCATGTTTGCGGAAATGCTAAGAAAGTCAGGGCAATTGTTTGAGGTCACTGGTGGCCAACCGCAGAGCAGTGCTACCTTGCTTCCCAGGGCTGCAGCCTCTTTTACACTTGAACAGCAGAGGTCGGGTTTTTTTGGCTTTTCAAAACATTTTTTCAAGACAAGCAAACTGAAATCTGAATGAAAAAGGTTAATTGGAAACTCCATGGCCATTATTCCATCTATACGTAAAAACAAGGTACTCAAAACTGAGGTCTGCTACATCGAAAATTTTGAAAGTCTGTGTAATCTAAAAATTTTCCATACATTTTACTAATTGCAGCTAATGCTTTCCTTGGAAATAAAAACAACTTCAGGTGCACAACATGTTCTGTGGAGGAGACAGTTTTGGTTTTACCACATTTTAAAGATAGGGCCGGTTGATTAGAAAGTTATTTTTAAAAGCTGCTTTGTGCACTTTTAATTGATCTCCCATTTTCTATTCCTAATTCTTAATGTGGGTTGATATAAGAATTTACTAAAAATGAATTGTTTCATATATTATAAAAGTAAAAGTAGTCATGATATTTTCCAATATCACAAAGCAAAGAAATGAAAAATCCAAATTAGCTTATGTTTAGCTATATCTTGTACTCCCCTGCTGCGCTTAGGAGCAGTCTTCTCTTGGCACTGAAAGTCTCTTCTGAAGAAGGCAAGTAAAACACAGATGTAAACAAAAACTAACAACAGTGACGTTGATCAGGATTTTGTGCCGATTGATGTATACTCTGAGCAGAATAGTGGGATTTTTTTTTTATTTTGGAGTCTGCTGGCCTGACCAGAACCTGTCCTTAAGCTCACAGTGATGTGAGGAGAGAGAACTGGAGCCATTATTCTCGTCACACCACTGCATATGTTTTGTATGCATGGTTTAAAGGAGGATCGTATATCTTAGAGCTCATTTAATGTCACTTTCCTGGTGCTCATATTTTAGAAAAAGTGCTGCCTAGCACTTTGTGCGCTGTTGACTATTCCAGAGGCGAACACAGAGAGGTGATCTTTGTTCTGATTCAACTGCTATAGAAGGCTAGAGTCTTTTTGCTGGAGCGGTGTTTAAAATACATTTTTCTGTCTTACATTGCTTGGGAAGTACTCTAATGTTGACAGTTCCTCCTTGGTACATCAAGTAGCTGTTGTGATGGTGTACCAGTGGAGGTAGTAGGAAGGTTTAAGAGCCCACCCCTGGGAACAGACAGAACCAACCCTTCCGTTCCACTGACAAGACCTCTGTAGAGCACAGAGCGCTGCCGCAATACCGTGTGTTGTTGGGAACCTTGATTGGATGGCAGGTCCCTTGACTTTCAAAAGTAAAATGCACATCTTGCCCAAAGATGAGATAGAGGCAGAGCAAAGCGTTGCTACGCTAGTGGGGATGGCCAGACGTAACTAGTAACGTTGTTCAGTAACAGAAGTCCACGTATCATAAACCGTGCCTCGAGGCCGGTACGAACCAGTGTTATCTGTGAGCTGGAACAGGGGGATAAATCTGAATTCCCTTTCCAGCTGTGCCCCACCTGTGCTCAGTTTCCCCCTTCAGCTCCCTATGCTTCTGTAAAAGGAGCTCCTATCCACCACAGAGGGTGTACAGGGACTTAATTAATGTTTGCAAAGTGTTTTGAGATTCCTGGTGACAAGTGTCATGCAAGCGTGAATGAAACTGATTATTATAGCACGTGAGCAAACAACTACTGATCCACAAATTAACACCTGGCTAATAGCACATGCAGGGTTGGACTGACATCCATTATTTAAGAAAATGTGATCCTTGGTGAATTTTTTTTGAACACTTGGCTGTTGCTAGAACAGAATACTTATTACTTCGGAGTCTAATTTTTCGGGCTGATCAATCACCATTACTGCTTTACAGTTCAGCTAGTTCTACTCTGAATGGTTAGTATAAAACACAAAGTATTATCTTCTTCATTAGATAAAGCATTGAAGCATTTTAAATGCAAATACTGTATAAAATATAAGTTCATTATAATGGCTTACATTTTTCCATTATCAGGTCCAGTCTGAACTAATTGCTTAGCAAGTTTTATTATCATTGGTTTTTATTTTAAAGGAGCAATCTCATGGAAGCTCTATAGATGCTTAACCAGGATATCTTTCACGCTGATTAGGATTTAATGGGCTAAAGAGTAAGTTTGCCTTATGAAAGATGCTTTGTTGACTACCTGTTCGATGGTTTCTAATGTTTTTCTGTAAAGTGTCTGAAACAGGCAGTTTCGTGAGGCAGAGGAGTGGACAAGAGAGGCCAGCACTCTGATCTGCTTGGAACTGCCACCATACTCCCCCTTCAGACAAGAACCTGTTATGTTGTACACTTAAATATCGTCCTTGGCATCGAACAGGAGGGACTGTCTCTGTGCAGATGCCCAGTTAAGAGCACAAGCCTCTGAGTTTCTTAAGCATAAATTTTGTATACTAACCACTGGACCATGCTGCTTCATGATCCCATCCTATTTGTGGCTGTAGGTTGGTTGTCCCGACATCTGCTCACGTCTGACTGGTTGTTAGGAGGCAGTCCATCATAGGGTGTTGCCGTAGTGTTAGTAGATTCACTCCAGACTTTAAAATATCCTCCAGTAACTCCCTGTACAGATTCTGAAAGGGTGGGTGACAGGTTGAATGCCAGCAGGGTCACATCTGAGGAACCAGCAGTCCGCGTTGGCTCTGCGTGCCACTCTTTGCTGAGTGAAACCACTGGAGACTGGTGCTACTGGTCTCTGTTAGGAATCAGAGTGATTTGCAGTGTAGCCACGGTGAAGGCTAATAGAAACTTACTTCAGTCACTAAGGACAATTCCCTACTTTTCTCCATTACCTGGAGATATATTCTCCTCTTCCCAGAAGAGAAGCTCCTGAAAGCATCCAACACTAAATGCTTCTTAGGGTAGGTTAAAGGCTTTTACAGGCAATTTGCTTCAGTGCAAGGGTGGACAACTATCCATATTGTTTGGCCTTTTGTTGCTTATGACTTCCCAAAAAAGACCTGGAACGCTTTGTTTGTTTCCTTAAGCGCAGTATGCTTTCAGCCAGCATGTGCTGGAATTACAGTTATCGCACTAGACCTGTACAGCAGTCTTGGCAATAGCTGGCCTGAATCCTTTTTTCAGTATCTTAAATTATGGAGGAGTTCACTGACCTAGTAGATATAACAATAAATTAAATTCCTTTAAACAAATTGATCAAAGAAACTTGACCAATTTCCATAAATCTTTGGAAATTGGTTTGAATTAGCCTTTGATTTAGCATTGGTTTAATATACAAAAAAAAAATATCCTATTCTTCTTATGCATTTGGCAGCTGTGCTGCTTCCTGCCTCGGTTCATGTTGCTAAGGAAGATTTATTTCCCAGAAGTTAGCCGTGTCTCTTACAGCCTGTGACATTACAGTTCACTTCTTCCCTTGACAACGCTGTCCAGCGAACTTGCGGTGCCTGTGAAGAGCAGAATGGATGGATTTTACTTTGGTGTAAAACATCTTAAATACTTCCCTGTAGGGGGTTTGAGAGAGCTGTGCAGTGTCAGCTGATGTATACTTGCCAGTATACTCTGAAGGCAAGTGGGGTGGCTGAGTTGAAGGCAAAGAAGCTGAGGTGCTCTTGTAAGAGACTGGTGACAAAATGAGAGCAGAGCCAGCCTTTGTTCATGATCTGGTACCTGTATTTTAATCACCAGATTGTGGCTTACTTTTGTTTTCAGATTCTTAGGGTCTGCAAAATAGACACTGATCCAAGATCGCAGTCATCTCTGCCATTTCTAGTGGTGCATTTCATGTTGACATGTCAGATCAGCCGACATCTTTCATCAGTGGTGAAAATACGATAGGAGTTGCTACAACACCTTCATCACAGCTACATCTTGGGTGAGAGGGCTGAATAGAAACAACCACAAAGAGATCTAATGGAGAGCAGTCTTTGGGGTGAGGCAAAATGGGCAGCGTGGTTCGGCTCCTCAACAGGCAGAAAGTCTTGCTTGTCACTTTGAAGCACCAGGCGTATTTAAAACATGAAGAAAAAAAGAGAAAATCTAAGATCGAGAGACTATAAATGGGAATAAAAGCTGGTGGTCCATCAGGAAGTTCTGAAAATGCCTGCACCCCGTTGATTTTTGCAGGTTGCTGCCCGCCCCTCTGAAGGACGCGGTGGAGGTGTCTATGTGGAGGAAGTGTTACACCATGCCAGAAGTGAACGCTGCGCTCAGTAAGATCCAGCTAGTGGGCTATTCTCAGAAAATTGTGAGTACCTGTAAAGCTGTCCTCGGGTCCCCAGTAACAACTTATGGTCTCCCAGCTTTTCTCTGGAAATACCCTTCCTGTTGTATTTTCCCCCCAGATGCTGTGTGGGGTCTAGTTAGCCTAGCCTAGGAAAGCAAGACAAGATTACATTGAATGTCCCTCAGTCTGCCTCCCAGGACGGGTTCTTGTTTGGTGAAATCAGGGAGTGTCCATTTGTTTCTCCTCCTCCTTGGGGAGGCCAATTTTAAGGCGGCATACCTGTGGATTTGGAGTCGATGGCTGGCCTGCTGAGAGCTGGGAGGATGTACCAAATGAATGTATCCTCTCCGTCTGTAAGCCACATCCCCTTCTGAGTTACCATATCTCACTTCTGGGAATCTTTTGAGTGCTTTAGCCTCCACTTTCTTTTATACTGCAAATTAGGGATTGTAAACAGAACCTAATGGTTCGATCTGAACTTCAAAAACTCCTTTCCCAGGGTTCCCAGCTAACATTTGTCATCTGTTGACTGTGTTCCAGTGTGGTTTCTAGAATGAACTGAACCAACAATTCAGTCGTCTGCAGCTACGCTGTTCCCTTATGGCTTGTAGGCAGCATGGGCGCCGTGATACCTGCTATTGGTGCTCAGGGCCATATGAAATAAAAGGGTGGGTTAAATTAAATTGTGTATCCAAAGCTTTGTATTTGCTCCCTTTTCTTAAGCAATGGGCCACTGAAGTTTGGAGACTGCTATTTATGTGAAGGACAGTTTGAAACACTAATCAGTGCTGTTGTGTACTAAATTTGGTGGATTTGGGTTTGTGTGGTGCTGCATTACAGCTGGTGAAAAAAGACCCCGAGCCACCATTAACATGGCTGCGGACGTGAGTAACAGCTGCAGCTTTGTCTAGTGACTAGAGAAGTTGAGGGCATTTGGACTCCTCAGTATCCATGGGTGGTTACTGTTGGTTTTCAACTGTCCTCACAGTGTGGATGCATCTCACCTAATTTTAGAGCTGTGCGTCTGAGCCAATCATTCTTTTATAGATACCGAGAAAAAGAGACAAATTTTGTCTCTTCCCAAAGCTAGCTTTTAAAATAATCAGACCCTAATTAACCAGTTAACCTGAAACTGGATGACAACATCAAGAATGGTTTGTTGTCCATTTTACTTGTCTACGTATCACCAGAATCTAGAGCCTTGGTTTACACACTCTGAGGGATGGAGAGGCTGCCTTGTTTGCAAGGCATCCAAATGTGTATTGAGATACTAGAAAAATCATTAGTATTGCATGAATCAGATACTTGTTCTATTATTCAGTAACCAGAAAGTAGATCACATTAGTGAGGTAAACATGGAGGCTTATTTTCCTTTCTCAAAGCAAGTATAACACATTAGTGTGTACAGATAAAGCAATACACTTTCCACACCTGGAAAGGAGACAAGTGTCAGGTTGCTTATGCTTAAAGCTGAAACTGAACTTTGGATTGAGTTTTGAGGGTGTTGTTTCTAAATCACCAGTAGATAGCATTTAGAAAGAAATAAAGTAAGTTTGAAGTTAAGTGTATGTTTTCCACAGCAAAATGTGTAACCCAAACAGTTTTATATCAGTACAGAGCTACTTGTCCTTCCTTCTCTCCTGCTGGCCAATACCAATGAAATTCTGACTAAGGGAGTATAGAATCTTCAAAGACGTAAAGCTCCTCCAGGCTTCTTCAGTACAGCAAAGGCAGGCAGAGGATCAAGACCTCAGTTGATTCCTCCATTTAAAGTTATGGTTCAGTTTGAACTCAGTTAGATGCTATAGAATTCATATGGAAGTGAGACTTTATGAAGGCCCTACCTCAGGAAAAGCTTTTCTCAGAGCTTGTGTCCTGTTAGACATTGGTAAATAAAAGCAGCAGGCATAAAGCTTGGGAAACTAGCTTCATGAAGGCTTTGAATAGCGGAACTAGTTTTAAAATTGATGTCACTGATGGTAAAATAACCTGTTCTGACTTCTCTCAGGGGCTCACTCAAGTTAATGTCTCTTACTGTGTGTTGCAGGAGCTGTTTGGTGCTGTGCAGGTCACCCCTCTCAGCTCAGGCTACGCTCTTGGAAGTTCCAATTGGATTATCCAGTCGCACTATGAAAAGGTTTCCTATGTTTCGGGATCTTCTCTACTTACAACACACCCTCAGGTACAGCCCCTCACTTTTGTTAGTCTTCTACAGGGGGAAGTGTCTTTGCTCAAAGGAAATAGAGGGGCTTATTCCAGCTGGGATCAGGTGTAGTGTCGAAGCTATACTGAGGTAACTCTGTTAGCAATTGGCTGGACTTATGGGCATTGGGAAGACATACTACCCTGATAAGTGGATGGGTATCAATAGTTACTGGGGAAAGATAACTAAAATTCTTTGCCGTCGATGATTTGATGTTAACTTCCTCACCAGCTGTGAAATTCTCCTTCACCTTAAATAGGAAATTTTCAACAGAACTAAACAATAGAGCATTAGTGACTTTTTTAAAAAATCCATATTTCAGTGAAGAGTCTTTACAGACAGTTCATGGGCTGCTTCTATATCACTTCTGAAACATCCTTCCTTGGGAGAAATGATAGCTAACTGGCTGCCAACTTTTCCACCCTGCTCTGCTAAGGGCAAAGTCTTTATAGTGCTGTAGATGTAATTTCCAGTAAATTAATTCTCTCTAGATCCATAAATTCTTAGTGCAAAGAATGACTTGAAGTTTGCAGTACTGGTGCTTCAGAAGTTGTCAAGATAGTTAAAAGCAATATTAGCAGGAGGTATTTAAAAATAATTTACAAAACATGTCAGGTTCATGATCGGTAAGTAATTTCCCCCAAGGTGAGTATCTTCTGACGAGCTTTGCTTCTGAGCATCCTTCATTTAAAAGCTTGATCTCAGGAGCTGAACAGCTGCAGCAGAGCAACCATCCTTAGCAGTACGGCTGTACTTAGCTGCGTGCAGTGTAACAGAGTCTCTGGATCCCTTTTTCTCATCAGCTTCATACTGGCCTGGGTTGTGCTCTTTTGTCACCTCCTAGGGAAGGAGCAGCAGTATTATTTGACAATATACGAGTGGAATGTTTCTGTGAGGAGAAACTTTGCACTGCAAGAAGTAGTTTGGTAACAGTGTTTTCCCTTCCTTGGCATGAAACGGCGATTCAGTTTATCGGGTTAGACTGGCCGTGCTTCATCGTTTCCCAAAGGTGGACATTCCTCTGGAAAATTCTGGTAAAGTCCCCGTTTTTAAGGAAATTAGCTCCCTGTGGCAGGGAACTGCCTGGTGAGAGCGCAGCCCCTGGGACAGATCCGCTCTCACTCACTGCAATCTGCAGGAGAAGGGGTGACAGACAGAGCAGTTTCTATTTGAGCAAGAGGAGGAAAATGTACTGTGAGCCTACCTGAAACCCTAGGGACCTACTTGTTTGCTAACAAGAGAGAAAACCGGGACTATTCACTCTGCTGACAGTGTTTCTTGTCCCACAGGGTCTCCAGGAGCCTCATTTTTTCGCATACAGTCCATGGCACTTTGCTTTATTTTATACTGACGCATGGTTTGAAGGAGGAGCTTGCCAGATAGTTGAAATTGCGTTCAGTTTGCCTTTTCCTTGTTATTTACCACATTACAAATGTTACCAGATACTATTTGCATGTCAGATATCATCTTGCATTTGCTTCCAGGTGGTTGTTGAAGACAATGGATAGTTTTTGTCCAAGTATTAATCCCTGTGAACACCAGTACAAGCTCCTACAATATGGTGATTCTGTAATGACGAGTGGTTTTTGTGAGCTGCCAACCAGCTCTTCACCTGTTTGGTGTTTGACAGACAATATGTAACAATAACAATATCTTGAGTGACACAGAGTCAAAATCGTGTTCAACAAATTAGTATTTTTTCATCAGGAAGGGAGAAGTTGTTTGACCTGTTTCTCCATAGAATCATGGAGGGCCGTCGGAATGAAATTCCCATCTTTTAACAGTGTATGAAAACAGTCACTGTGTTTTGTTTTCAAAATTACACCCAGTTAATCACCATGTGTTTATGTAAAAACATGTCCTGAGCTTTTTGAATAGTAGTAAAGCCTTAGCACTTTTCCAGTCCTCTGGAACTCCCTCTGTAGTTATTAAGAACAGGCATCAGTTGACCAGGCTCTCATCAGTCGTTTGTTTATTTAGGGTTAAGAAGACACAGATTATTTGGGCATACAAATGGAAAAAAGCTTCTTCCTCTTACATCTTGTCTAATATACACAGTAATAGCCTGGAAAGCAACGTTTCCTTCTCTCCAGGTGCACACAGGGTAAGGAACTGTAAGGTTGCATGGGGTTGTTCCTCCCTCCTGGGGAGGAACAACCCCATGCATCAGTACAGGCTTGGGGTGGACCTGCTGGAGAGCAGCTCTGCGGAGAGGGACCTGGGTGTCCTGGTGGACGACAGGTTGACCATGAGCCAGCAGTGTGCCCTGGCTGCCAAGAAGGCCAATGGGATCCTGGGGTGCATTAGGAAGAGTGTGGCCAGCAGGTCGAGGGAGGTTCACCTTCCTCTCTACACTGCCCTAGTGAGGCCTCATCTGGAGTACTGTGTCCAGTTCTGGGCTCCCCACTTCAAGAAAGATGAGGAGCT